TCCCTGAATTGTGCAAAGAATAGAAGTGAGGAGAGACAAGGCAAGTGGCATGGATAGCATCCTGCAAATCCAGGTAAAGATGATGATGGCCTGACCTGAAGCAGTCAGGGCTACAGGACGGGGGTGAGGAGGATGGACAGCAAGACCAGAGGCATGGGATCTGACAGGCAGATGGATGGTTTACTGTGTTTCTAAGCCTCAGAAGGAAATCCGGGAACCCTCTCACAACTGAAAGCAAGGAGCAGAAAGAGCACTGACAATGATGACCTGCTAAAATGTGACCCCACTGAGTCTGCTGTGCACAAACAGGAAAAAGCTGCCAAACACAGTTTCTCTGCAGCAGCATGAGGTGCCCAGTATTTCCCTCGTGGACAATCCTGAAAGGTCATACTGGGTGAAGTTTAGAACTTCTGGGAAATTGAAAATGAAAAAAAAACTTGGCCAGGCACAGTGGCTCACGCCTGTAATCCCAGTACTTTGGGAGGCAGAGGTGGGTAGACAACTTGAGGTCAGAAGTTCAAGAACAGACTGGCCAACATGATGAAAACCAGTCTCTACTAAAAATAATAACAATAATACAAGCCAGGCAAGGTGGCTCCTGCCTGTAATCCCAGGCCTTTTGGAGGCCGAGGCAGGTAGATCACGAGGTCAGGAGTTCAAAACTAGCCTGGCCAATATGGTGAAACCCCATCTCTACTAAGAAAATGCAAAAATTAGCCAGGCGTGGTAGCGTGCACCTCTAATCCCAGCTACTGGGGAGGCTAAGGCAGGAGAATTGCTTGAACCTGGGAGGTGGAAGTTGCCATGAGCCAAGATTGTGCCATTGCACTCCAGCCTAGGCAACAAGAGCAAAACTCTGTCTCAAAAAAAAAAAAAACACCAAAAAAACACCGCCACAAAAATTAGCCAAGTGTGGTGGTAGGCTCTAGCTACGCTACTTGGGAGACTAAGACAGGAGAATCACTTGAACTCACAGGGCAGAGGCTGCAATAAGCTGAGATCATGCTACTGTACTCTAGCCTGGGTGACAGAGCAAGACTCCATCTTGATTTAAAAAAAACCTAAAACTAAAATCAGAAAAAAAAATTATTCAAATCTGCAGCAAACCTCATTGCACAGGAATTAAGCTAAGTAAAATCCATTGCGCTAGAAAAGATCTCGATTCAGGCAAAAGGGGCTTTTAACATAATGTGACTATCTGGAGTCTTCTCAATTGTGGACCATACGAAACAGCAAATCATGCCACTAACTACTCCATCATCAATCAAGGCAAAGGGATTTTAGGTAAACAACAGCTTCCCCAGAGCACAAACCCCTTCCCAAAAAAGCCTAAGAATTCCCCAAGTAAACAATGAAGAAACACTCAATGTAAATGCAAGGTCACCAGGCTCATAGGTCTGAGGTTCTAAGTCACTGGTAAGAGGACTGAGGAAAAATAGAAGAAATCAAATTATTAGGTGCAGTGTATACTGCTCGGGTGATGGGTGCACCAAAATCTCACAAATCACCACTAAAGAACTTATTCATGTAAGCAAATACCACCTGTTCCCCAATAACACCTATAGGAATAAAAATTTTTTTTTGAGACGGAGTTTCACTCATGTTACCCAGGCTGGAGTGCAATGGCGCGATCTCGGCTCACCGCAACCTCCGCCTCCTGGGTTCAGGCAATTCTCCTGCCTCAGCCTCCTGAGTAGTTGGGATTACAGGCACGCACCACCATGCCCAGCTAATTTTTTGTATTTTTAGTAGAGACGGGGTTTCACCATGTTGACCAGGATGGTCTCGATCTTTTGACCTCGTGATCCACCCGCCTCTGCCTCCCAAAGTGCTGGGATTACAGGCTTGAGCCACCGCGCCCGGCCAGGAATAAAAATTTTTAATTAAAAAAGTTAATAAGGGCCAGGCAGCGTGGCTCACGTGTGTAATCCTAGCACTTTAGGAGGCAGAGGTGGGTGGGTCGCCTGAGCTCAGGAGTTCAAGACCAGCCTTGGCAACATTGTGAAATTCCACCTCTACTAAAAATACAAAGATTAACCGGGCGCAGTGGCACGTGCCTGTAGTCCCAGCCACTCCAGAGGTTGAGGCACGAGAATCACTTGAACCTGGGAGGCAGAGGTTACAGTGAGCCAAGATTGTGCCACCATACCCCAGCCTGGGGAACAGAGCAAGAGTCCATCTCAAAAAAAAAAAAAAAATATAAAAATAAAAAAAAAAGTTAATCTAAAAAAAGAGTTTTAAATAACTTAACAAGCTGGAAAAAAAAGCACCAGTAAAACTGGAAAAAATAAAAATTAAAAAAAAAAAAAAAAGGCTGGGCTCAGTGGCTCATGCCTGAATCCCAGCACTTTGGGAGGCCGAGGCAGGCGGATCATGAGGTCAACAGATTAAGACCATCCTGGCCAACATGGTAAAACCCCATGCCTACTAAAAATACAAAAATTAGCTGGGCATGGTGGCATGCACCTGCTGTCCCAGCTACTTGGGTGGCTGAGGCAGGCCAATTGCTTAAACCTGGGAGGCAGAGGTTGCAGTGAGCCAAGATCTCACCACTATACTCCAGCCTGGTGACAGAGTGAGACTCCATCTCAAAAAAAAAAATCATCAGAAAGGACATACTTGTATACTGTTTGTAGAAACAAAAATAAAGGCTTTTAAGATTGCATTTTGGCAATACCTACTAATGATTTTAAATTATTTATATTCCTTGACTCAAATTTCTAGGAGAAAAATGGGTGCAATCTACATGCATATGATTAAATTAGGTATAGTACATCCAAACAGCGTAACACCAAACAGCAGCTTAGTGTTTTAAATTAAGACCTGTATTTCCTTCCATACAAATGCCCCAAATCTACAGCTACAATCTACAAAAGGGTATTAGAAAAATGGTCTATATACAGTAAGAACCCACTATGTGTGTGTTTCAAATCTACATGTTATAGACAAACCTCACAAAAATAGTGTTCAACAAATGCAGACAGATATTAAAAAAAAGCACATAGTGGATAAATTATAGTTATTTAAGGTTCAAACACAAGCAAAATAAACTTTGTAAATATTTTTTTTTAATTCTCAGGAAAATATTTTTCCCCTTTCACAGTGTCAAAAAAAAAACCTGTATAAAAAGTGTTGAGAACAAGAAAAATCTGCTGTAAGATTCTTAGTATAAGGGCCCTGGGAGTAGCTCATGGAAAGATGAAGCTTGTCAGTTCAAATATAAAAAGCTGACAAGTCACTTCCTCATACATGGTCATGAGCTAAAAATTCAGCACAGAACATGCAGTCCAAGGCATGGAGACAACCATGTTGAAACAAACAGCTGAGTGTCAGTCAAATTATTCAAGAACCTGACATCACATCCTGGAAATATCAAATATAGTCAAAATGCAGAATTTTAGCCTCACTTATACAGGTTAGGAAACTAAGTTATTAAACATCTTACTGCGTTCACAAAGCCAAAATAGGGACTCAGCTTGTGTTCTTAGCACTATGGTACACGGCTCCCTTTAAAAAAAAAAAATCACTAAATTCAGAGGTTCTAGAATGTAGAGCATGTAGACCTTATACCTTGCATTTCCACTTATTAGTCAAAGAGTAACTACTGTACATTTCCTTCCGAAATCTAAACCTGACCATCTGAAAGGCCCAGAAATTCTTTTTTTTTTTTTTTTTTTTTGAGACAAAGTCTCGCTCTGTTGCCGAGGCTAGATAGAGTGCAGTGGCGAGATCTCAGCTTACTGCAACTTCTGCTTCCCAAGTTCAAGCAATTCTCCTGCCTCAGCCTCCCAAGTAGGTAAGATTACAGGTGTTGTACCACCATGTCCAGCTAATTTTTGTATTTTTAGTAGAGACAGGGTTTCATCATGTTGGCCAGGCTGGTCTTGAACTCCTGACCTTAGGTGATCTGCCTGCCTCAGCTTCCCAAACTGCTAGGATTACAGACTTGAGCCACTGTGCCTGGCCTTAGCCGGGAAATTCTTAAGTAACATCCTCTGACACCTTGAGTTTTCCAAGACATTTAAAGTGTAGGATCTTATACACACCCACATAATTTCATTAAACCAAACATTAAAAAGTAGAAGGGAAAAAAATCAAATTTTTATAAACACATCTAAGTTCACTTCTGAGCTTATTTTATCAATAAAGGTCTTTTTTTTTTTTTTTTCTGAGACAAGATCTTGCTAGATAGCTGTGGCATAATCATAGTTCCCTGTAGCTTCCATCTCCCAGGCTCAGCCTCTTGAGTAGCTGGGACTATAGGCATAGGCATGTGACACCATATCCAGCTAATTATTTTATTTTATTTTATTTTTTTGAGATAGAGTCTTGCTCTTATTCCCCAGGCTGGAGTGTTGTGGCATGATCTCAGCTCACTGCAACCTCTACCTCCCGGGTTCAAGCAATTCTCTGCCTCAGGCTCCCGAGTAGCTGGGACTATAGGCGCCCGCCACTACATCTGGCTAATTTTTTTGTATTTTTAGTAGAGACAGGGTTTCACCATTTTGGCCAGGCTGGTCTTGAACTCTTGACCTTGTGATCCACCCGGCTGGCCCCTCAAAGTACTGGGATTACAGGTGTGAGCCACTGTGCTCAGCCCTGGAACCCTGTGTATATTTCAACCACTCACTGGTAATTATATCTCAGTTCAACAAAATGACCTCAGAATGTTTCTCCTTTTTTTTTTTTTTTTTTTGAGATGGAGTCTTGCTCTGTAACCTAGGTTGGCGTGCAGTGGCACAATCTCAGCCCACTGCAACCTCTGCCTCCCGGGTCCCGTTCAAGCAATTCTCCTGCCTCAGGCTCCCGAGTAACTAAGATTACAGGCATACGCCACCATATCCAGCTAATTTTTGTATTTTTAGTAGAGACAGGCTTTCACCATGTTGGCCAGGCTGGTCTTGAACTCCTGACCTCGTGATCCGCCCACCTTAGCCACCCAGAGTGCTGGGATTACAGGCGTGAGCCGCTGTGCTCGGCAAGAACATGTCTCTACTCACCAACACTCTGTCTCCAATTTTGAGCTCTCTTTCTCCTTTCTTAACTGAGCCAGCCTCTGAAAGGTTGGAGATAGATTCGCTGGCAGTTTTTGTAAGGTTGCTAATCGGAGGCATAGCTGAAGGTTCCTTTGCTACTGGCTGTGATGGTTTTTGAGGGATGTTTGAGGGGGTGGCCGGGAAGGAAGACACCATGCTGGCTGCAGAAGTGGACAGAGGTGAAGTAGCTCGGGAAGTGGAAGTCGTCTGCAAGCCATTAGCTTCATCTTCTGCTTGCACCTTCCTTGTTAACTTTGAAGGTCGGGTAAATATGCCCTTTAAAGGTTCACACTGGAAATACCGAACTCCGGCCACCGAACCATCATTCTTGCCTATGGGTTCATCTAAAACAATTCCAGCCCACTGGCCTGGTGCAAACTGGGTTTCTCCAAGAAACTGGATAAATCCAGGCTTATTTCCATTCACCCAAACTCGCTCCCCAACTCGAAAGTCATCCACAAATTCCTCTTGAGTCTCAGATGATGGTGTGCTTGATGCTTTTTCACTGGATATTGTTTTTTCTACTGGAGCTACAGCTAAAAACAGAAGAAAGATCATAAGAGATTCGATTTAATATTCAAACACACAACCTCTAACTTAAAGAAAACCTAGAGAAAGCCAACAGCCCACAGGAGTAGCCTACAACTCTTAGAGAAGTGTTCTAGTCTTAAGTGTTGTTTTTTGTTTTTTGAAATAGTCTCGCTCTGTCACACAGGCTGGAGTGCAGTGGTTCGTGATCTCGGCTCACTGTAATCTCCACCTCCCGGGTACAAGTGATTCTCATGTCTCAGCCTCCCGAATAGGTGGGATTACAGATGTGCACCACCATACCTGGCTAGTTTTTGTATTTTTAGTAGAGACGGGAGTCTCACTAACATTGGCCAGGCTGGTCTCGAACTCCTGACCTCAGGTGATCCGCTGCCTTGGCCTCCCAAAGTGCTGGGATTACAGGCGTGAACCACCATGCCTAACCCAAATATTTTTGTTTGTTTTGTGTTGTTTTGTTTTAAACCAGGAGGCCAAGAATACTTGATCCTTCACCACCATCTTCAATGCTGCTAAACTCAGTGAGCTGGTGGTTGAGGTTTATTTCTTTACTTGCAATTAAGATTAGAAAAAGTTAAAACAAGAAAAAAATAAAATCAGTCATTTTTCCAGGCCTATATTTATAATTGGCCTGATTCATTATTTTATTCTGGGGCATGGGGGGCGCCTTCATGTTGGTCCTGCTGAAGAAAGTCATCTAAGGGCCACAGCCACCTCCACACACACACACACCAAGGGAACCAAGGGAAACACATAGAATCCTCAACTGTGCGGACCATCGACCTTCAAGAAATTCCAATCTTTTTCCTAGCCACCACCCTGCACATCATGAGCATAATACCCATTCAGATTCACTAAGTACCACTACTCCACAATTAAGGAGTCAGTTGAAGCTGACAAAAACTAGGATCATTTGGCCAGGCACAGTGGCTCACACTTGTAATCCCAGTACTTTAGGAGACTGAGATGGGCAGATCATTTGAGGTCTAGAGTTTGAGACCAGGCCGGCCAACATGATGAAACCCCATTCCTACTAAAAAGCACAAAATTAGCCAGGTATGGTGGCAGGCGCCTTTAATCCCAGCTGCTAGGGAGGTGAGGCAGGAGAATCACTTGAACCTGGGAGGTGGAGCCAAGATCACGCCACTGCACTGAGGCCTGAATGACAGAGCAAGACACTGTCTTTAAAAAATAAAATAAATAAATAAAAATTAAAAAGCCAGGTGTGGGGGTTCATGCCTATAATCCCAGCACTTTGGGAGGCCGAGACGGGCGGATCATCTAAGGTCAGGAGTTCAAGACCAGCCTGACCAACGTGGAGAACCTCCGTCTCTACTAAGAATACAAAATTAGCTGGGCATAATGGCACATGCCTGTAATCCCAGCTACTTGGGAGAGTGAGGCAGAAGAATCACTTAAACCCAGGAGGCAGAGGTTGTGGTGAGCTGAGATCACACCACTGCTCTCCAGCCTGGGCAACAAAAGTGAAACTTCATCTCAAAAAAAACCTAGAAAAAAATCATTAAGCTCTCCACATATAAAATTTTATGTCTTTTAATTACAAATTCTTTCAGGCTGGGTGTGGTGGCTCAGACCTATAATCCCAGAACTTTGAGAGGCCGGGATAGGCATATCACTTGAGGTCAGGAGTTCGAGACCAAACTGGCTAACATGGTAAAACCCTATCACTACTAAAAATACAAAAATTAGCTGGGTGTGGTGGTGTGTGTCTGTAATCTCAGCTACTTGGGAGGCTGAGGCAGAAGAATCAGCTGAACCCGGGAAGCAGAGGTTGCAGTGAGCCAAGATCGCATCATTGTATTCCAGGCTGGGTGACAGAGCGAGACTCCATCTCAAAAAAAAAAAAAAAAAAATTCTTTCAAATATATTCAAGACTGTGAATGTATATAAAGTAATGTTTTAAACTTAAAAATCAAATTGAAGTCTCCATATAGGATAATTTGTTTGCCATAAAGGAAATGCATAAAGTATTACCAGCCGTAGGTGTCTTCAGAGCTGTGCTTCCAGGCTTCAGGATCTTGGTGGGGGCCTTAAGCCCACTTGGCTTTAGCATACTCATTTTCTTTAAATGTCAGAGCTGCTTCTCCTTTGCCTGTTGCCACTATCTTTCCCCAATCATTGATACAACTGTAGGTGCTATAGTAAAGTCAGTCTCTGGATTTAATCTGCAAAGGGAAATAAAAAGATTTTATAATCTATAGGAGAAAGCAGGAACAACAGGTAACTTTCACAGACTAAAGCTTTCATTTTATTTAACAATATCCATCTCCACACTAAACCTAGAAACCTAGAAGACTCTGGTTATTACAAACATGAAAATGCTGCTGAAATGGATTTAAAGACAATATACTATCCTCAAGAGAAGCAGTTAGCTGGGTGCCATGACCCACTCCTCACACCTGTAATCTCAGAACTTTGAGAGGCTAAGGCAGGAGGATTGCCTGAGGCCGGGAGTTGGAGACCAGACTGATGAACATAGCAAGACCCTGTCTCTACAAAAAAAATTTTTTTTAATTAGCCGGGAGCTAAGGCGGAAGGACTTCATGAGCCCAAGAGTTTGAGGCTGCAGTGAGCCATGATCACGCCACTATACTCCAGCCTGGATGACAGAGCAAGACCCCGACTCTAAAGAAACAAACAAAAAACACAAAAACAAGCAGTTAAGACACACAAAATATTTGCTTTGTTTTATATATCTAATATTCTTAGCTCAGTACAAAAACTCACACAATCCATAAAAGAGGGTTCAGAAAAATCTGCAGCAAACAATGTGGGGGGGAAACGGAAGCTTTTAGTTTTTACTTTCATTTCTATATTGCTTAAGTTTTACTATAACAAGGCTGTATTAGTTATATTTTTAAATCCACAGAATTATTCAATTAACAGTATAAAACTATATATATGTTAAACTACAGGAAGATTAAAACCCTGTAACAAAAAGCCCTATCTGGCAAGTGATGGGAGAAAATGATCTTGGTTCTATCAGAAAAACACAATATATTGCTGGTTTACTCAAGACCAGATATGAATCTATGACTTTTGGACTAAGGTAAAATAGTATCCTGTCATATTCCCTTCACCTCCACGTAAAGTGAGTTGAAGAAAACCTTCGGGTTTTAGAATATAGAAAAATATTTTCAGATATAATACCTAAAAACAAAACAATTCAAAGAGAAAAATGCTGCCATTTAATGACTCTCTGTCAAAGGGCTGTTCTGCACTTTTCTCTGCGAGCAGAGCTTGGATGATGAAACGCAAACCTCACATTCTCATCCTGTGTCCCTTACAGCCAACACCAGGCACTGGCAAAGAATCTGGCCAGAGATGACAAAGGTACCTGAAGGCCGCTGCAGCATATGGAACAGTGCCCTCCCCCAAAGACATGGCCACCTAGCACCTGTGAATGTGACCTTATTTGGAAAAAGCATCTTGCAGATTTAATTAAGAATCTTGAGATAAGGTCATCCTGGATTACCCTGGTAGGCCCAAAACCCAATGAAAATTGTCCCTATAAGAAGAAAACAGGCCCAGGAGTGGTGGCTCTCGCCTATAATCCCAGTACTTTTCGAGGCTGAGGTGGGCAGATCACTTGAGGTTAGGAGTTCACGAACAGCCTGGCAAACGTGGCAAAACCTCTTTTCTACTAAAAATACAAAAATTAGCCAGGTGTGGTGGAATTTGCCTCCTGTAGTCCCAGCTATTCAGGAGGCTAAGGCACAAGAATCACTTGATCCCAGAAGGTGAAGGTTGTAGCAAGCCAAGATCACACCACTACACTCCAGCCTGGGCAACTGAGCAAGACACTGTCTCAAAAAAGAAAAAAGAGAAGATGAGAACACATAGAAGAGAAGGCCATGTGAAAACAGAGGTTAAGGTTGGGCACGGTGGCACGTACCTGTAATCCCAGCTACTTGGGTGGCTGAGGCAGAACTGGTTGAACCCAGGAGGCAAAGGCTGCAGTGAGCCAAGATCATGCACTGCACTCCAGCCTGGGCGACAGAGCAAGACTATGTCTCAAAAAATAAATAAAGATTCTGATGGACAGAGTGAGAGCTGGCATTTACCTGAAGACAGAAGTCACTATGCTGATTACAAATATAAAATCCCCATGTTCCTCACGGCTATCACCACTGCCATCAGTGATGAGGGAAAGAGGGGTCCGGGTAGGAGACCCTATGCCAAGGCCGTAGTTCTGATTCAGAGTCAGGTTTGAAACTATCTGCTTTGCTGTCAGACTCTCATCCCACAGCTTGCAAATTTCAAGCAGAGTTATTTGTTCCTGCTGCTGCCTTAAAGAGACAGAAGGGATTGGCCAAGTCTCCTTTGGACTTGACCAACAAAGGCCATGCCTATGCCCATAAAATTTGAGAAGGATGGGGACAGTCTAAGTGTAGAAAAATTCCCTGGGGCCTTCCTGACTCTTCACCCTGGGCCAGCATCATAGAGAGACAAAGGCCAGGTAGAACAGACAGAGAACAGATGGAGCAGGCACAGTGTCCTGGAAAACCTTTTATGGTGACAAAATGAAAAACAAAATGCTCCTTAAACTATTTCACTTGGGCAAAACAGGGAACTGCTGGGCTTAGGTCAAGCACTCCCTAAAGAGGAATTTTGAAAACAACCACAATACATAACTAGGGAGCTTTCAAATCCTGCAGCTCAGTATCATAAACTCACAAAAATCTGACCATCTGCAAGTCTCAGCCTAAAACACAGAAGCATGTGGTTATTGCAAACCAAAGCCTAATCCTAAACTCTGTCTAGGACTCTGCTATCCACCAGTTCTCATGCCTCTGGTTGTCGGTCCATCTGTGTTCCTTGAATCTAATGTAGAGAACTATGATCAAGATTTAAAGAAGGAGAAAAATCTAGTCTCTGTCAACAAAAGAATCGGCAGCAACACCACCAACGTTGGTTTTTTTTAATCTTCCAATTTATAGTTTCTTTTTCATGCATTATTAATGACTGGCATGTCAGGCTTGCTTCAAAAAATCAATTCAATGAAAAACAAAAGATCAAAGTCTTTGTCATGGTGCCCACAACTGTAATGACCAAGAAGCAATATCTCTGTATAATATTTCAAGGTCAGTGAATGTCACATTGAAACTAATCAATTCCAAAAAACATGCAAAAAGAAAAAAAAAAGACATCCTTGCCTCGCTGATAAGCTGGGCATATTTGAATTTTTGACACCTGTGCTCAATGAATCAGGAGATCTGGACCTAAAATAAGACGAACTACCCTTCTCTCCCACCCTCCCAACATGTACGGACCATAACATATAGAACATTATAACTCAGAAATAATTTTTATCTGAATTACTATCCCATTTGAGCGTTACAATACTATGAATTAGCCACTATTATTACCTCTTCTTTACAAATGAAGAAACGTCACAGAAATTAAGAAATTAGCAGATGTGTTTCCAAATTTGTTAATCACCTGTCTCCTAAGGTCACTTGGCTCGGTGGCAGAGATGCGAACACAGGTATTGTGATTCCAAAGTTAATCTCTTTTCACTAAATTTAATATTCAAACTTAGGAGATATCACACATCAAGATGAAAAACACCAGTTCTGGTACTACGAGAATGACCTACATATGTATGGCATCAAGAGTTCACACAGCACAAATACAAAACTACCTGTGTCTCAGCTTTTAGCTGCGAAGGTAGGTGTGCAATGACCATTATGCCCAATCAGGAATAGAGAGAATGAGGATTTAAAAGGCTAAGTGACCTTCCAAAGGTCATTCAATTAAAGAAGTGGTGGCACTCAAGGGCTCATCCCTGTAATCCCAGCACTTTGGTAGGCCGAGGCAGGTGGATCACCTGAGGTCAGGAGTTCAAGACCAGCCTGGCCAGAATGGGGAAACCCCGCCTCTACTAAAAATATAAAAAATCAACTGATCATGCTAGCAGGCACCTATAATCCCATCTACTTGGGAGGCTGAGGCAGGAGAATCACTTGAACCCAGAATGCGGAGGTTACAGTGAGCCAGGATTGTGTCACTGCACTCCAGCCTGTGCGACAGAGTGAGATGCCATCTAAAAAAATAAAAATAAAAAATAAAGTTAGGGCTGGGCGCGGTGGCTCACGCCTGTAATCCCAGCACTTTGGGAGGCCAAGGCGGGTGGATCACGAGGTCAAGAGATCGAGACCATCCTGGTCAACATGGTGAAACCCCGTCTCTACTAAAACTACAAAAAATTAGCTGGGCATGGTGGTGCGTGCCTGTAATCCCAGCGACTCAGGAGGCTGAGGCAGGAGAATTGCCTGAATCCAGGAGGCGGAGGTTGCGGTGGGCTGAGATTGCGCTATTGAACTCCAGCCTGGGTAAAAAGAGTGAAACTCCTCCTCCAAATAAATAAATAAATAAATAAATAATAAAGTTAAACCATTCTTCTCAGCTTCTCTTTTTTTTTTCTCTCTCTCTCACGTAATGCTTTTCTGTTCAGGCACAGGCACAAAAAAGATACCTAAATTCAACCATAATCAAAATTTGCCAGCTAAGTTAAAAATGGAACGGTAACAAGGGAGTTGATGGTAATTTTTCTCTTTTTTTGATACAGAGTCTTGCTCTGTAGCCCAGGCTGGAGTGCAGTGGCACGATCTCGGCTCACTGCAACCTCCTCCAACTCTCAGGTCCAAGCGAGAGAGAGAGAGAGAGAGAGAGAGAGAGAGAGAGAGAGAGAGAGAGGAGGAGGAGGAGGAGACTGGGTAATTTATTAGAAAAGAGATTGAATTGGCTCACAGTTGTGCAGGCTGTAGAGGAAGAACAGCACATGTGTTCCTGGGGAGGCCTCAGGAAGCTACTAATCGTGGTGGAAGGCAAAGCGGGGAACGGGTGCTTCACATGGCAAGAACAGGAGCAAGAAAGGGAGTTGGGGAGAGGAAATGCCACATACTTTTAAATGACCCATCCTGCAAGAACTTACTATCACAAAGACAGCACCTGCAAGAACTCACTGTCACAAAGATAGCACCAAGCCATGAGGGATCTGTCCCCACGATCCAAACACCTCCCTCTACGCCCCATTTCCAGCTCTGGGGTTTACAGTTCAACATGAGATTTAGCAGGAGACAGATATCCAAACTGTATCACTCCTCTACTACATTATAAATTTTTTTTTTTTTGAAACAGGATCTCATTCTGCTGCCCTGGA